CATTTCAATGGAGGTTTCCTTGAGACAAAAATTGATCTACTTGACAAGATTTCATTATGAGTTATAACTCTCTTTCTCTAAAGTTACTTCTTATGCTTACCCTGTTACCGCACACCGGTATAAGCTAATTTCTCTATCTACAAATCCATAGTCCCTTCTTCTCACCTATCATGGGCTTCTGAAGTTTGTTATTTGTCGTTAGGACTGAAGGATGACTCAAGCCCTTCCAATGTTATTCGTGCTTACAGTCCTTATGACAATAATTAGATTTTTTCGTCCACGATGCCGCAACTTATCCACCCCATTTTTCGTTTCATTAGATTCAATAATATTCATTCATTCATTTCAAATGGCAGACGTTTTGATAGTTATCATTAACCTTTTAGCTGACTTCGGGATTCACAGAGGAAATGAACATCAAAGTAGCAGAACATCACTGTGACAATTCAATATTCTGCGTTGCAATATCTGTCAGCCTTAAGTTTAAATCGGCGATATTTTAGGAATAACTATTTTTTCTCCCAAATTTTCCATATTTCTTATCTTTGTGCCTTATTTGCTGTTTGATTTTTATAAGTAGGCAGTAAATTACAGAATCTCAAAAATGTTTAAATTTTATCGGTGTCATAGTGACACGGATCGCGAACATCAATTCACAAATTTAGGTAGAAGCATTACAAGTCTTTCAAAGAATTGTAGGTTAGAGGACTACCCAGTCTTATTTGTCACCAACAATTCAATGCAAATTAATGAGAAATCTCGAAACTTAGAAATCATTCACCTTTAATCAATCGCTATTTCATTCCCGTAGCTTGTGATTTTTGGTCTTTGCACACTAAAATTATTAATTGCTTAAGTGGGTATTCTGGTCTAGAGAGATGTATTTTAGGTCATTTTTGAAGTGCTGTAAAAAAACAAGCAATATTTTTATTATCATTTTTTTATACATTATTTATTCTCATTAGAAGCATACAAAAAAATTTAAAATTCCGTTAGTAATCAGCTGATGGACCGGGGCGTCTCAAAATATAGTGCGTGACCATACCCACGATTTTAACTCTCCGAGCAATCTGAAATCAAAAAATAAGAAAGATTAACAATCTAAAATTATGTCGCTATGTCCGGAACTACGGGAAAGTTTTAGAAATATTTTTTACAAAATGGCGACTGTTTAAAGAAAAGAACCATTATCGCACCACTTTTTGAACATTCTTCGGTTTTTTAAAAATAGCAAAAATGAAATTTGCGGATGGCCGTAGTTCCGGACATGGACAAGTCCCTGAAGAAGACTCTCTTAAAATTTCAAGTAAATCGGTTGGGCAGAATCTGAGAAATCGTGGGTATCAGATTCGAAAAAACAGTTCTGAGAAAAACGCGTTTAAAGTTTCAAGTAAATTTTTTTGCAGTCTAAGTCATAAAATTATATTTTTAACTTACATTTATTCAATCTACCATTCCTGCTGCATACATCGGACCTTCCTCGACTTCGAAAAAACTATTTTCGGCGTTTCTGTTTTCTATTCGAGCAGTTCTGGCCTCCTTTGATGCGCTGGATGCTCGTATCTTGGAGCGGTCAACCCGAGCGTTGTCTCGTCTGGACCAATTTTCACTCCCATAATCGTCATCATCTTCAACATCGGTATAAATCCTTCATTAAAAATACACACAGCAATAAATGTTGCAATTTCAATGATCTGAGGATAATATAAATATAATATTGAAAATACAGTCTCGTTGTTGTATGTAGTACACGAAAGAAACGAAGAAATTGCTGAAAAGACCGTGGAAAACTCCAAAACACAGTAGCCGTAATTATTACTTATAATCACCTCTTCATCATTTGATTTCCTCAATTTTGCTGCTGATGCACTCGTAAAGCTGGTTTTTTCCTGTTCCGTAAACCTATTGCCGTGTTTTTCCTGTTCCGTAAACCTATTGCCGCGAAATATATTTAGATAGATAGATATAACGGAACAAAAGGGCTTACTAAGAAATATAGATTCAGGTAGTCGGAGAACCCATTATGTCTTTTGTTCGATTAGTTGCAGCCCAACCGATTTGGATGCCTGCTCAGCAAAATACTTATATATCTGAAAATAATTCGAATTTTGGAAAATTCTCTCGTAGACATATACTTAAATAGTTAAGCTATAGAAATATGCAAAGATAAATTCGAAATTTTTTTATAGACCAGAATACCCCCTTAAAATGCAATGTCCTTCTTCTTCAAAGTGTACTAAATAGATAATCAAAGGTTTGGAATTAAACTCGCTTCCAAAATAACAAAAAATGGAAAATATTTCATATTTATTCAAATGAGAGGTGCTTAAGTAATAATTTAACTTATTAGACTGAGAGAAAGCGTAGAAGATCTCTCAACACTTCATTATGATCATATTGTGGGACACGTTATCGCTGTGTGCGTCATCGCATGCCTGCACGCCAGGATTGGGAGGTGAGGCGTACAACTCTGTGTGCAGCGACCGTACACACAGTGACCACTAGCCTCTGTTTGTTTGACCTAATCCGCCATCCTGATCATGATCGAACTTCTGTTTAACCTAATCACCCATCCTGATCATGAGTAGCTCCCTGTGTGTACACTATCCGCAATATACGTACTGAATAAACGTGCTCCGCTGCTACACGTCTGTTTCCTTTATAGCTGGCTATGACTTAGCTGGTTCTGGGAGTCTAGCTAGATGTAGGAGACTCTGCCACAGAGATTTCTGGGTCGGTCAGGCTTTACTAGAGTAGCAATCCGCTACAATATTACCTGAAAACAAAAAGACTGTGTATTTTTGTAAAATTCTCTGCGAACTTAACGTTTATCTCCGGTCTCCTGATTTTGGATGATGCGCGACCTCTTTGATTTATGTAGTGAGTAGATGTATCTCCTTCCCTTTCCATCTGTGATAAAAGTTTTCTGACTTTGCAAAGAGCATTTTCCCAGCTTAAAATCAGACAAGTAGGATTAATAGGCCCACAAAAATGAGTAATAGTATGTTTTGCTCACACACAAGGATTGATTGCATTATTCTACATGGACAGGCGGATGCATCGTCAGGAGAATATGGCTTTGCGAAAGGGAGGAGACTCTACGCCTCTACTGTTCAGCCCAGAAGCAAATTTTTTGCCACTTCAAAAGATACATTGAAAGGGCCGGTTTCTAACTTAAAGTCAGTTTTGAGGGATACACTGGTCACTGGAAGTCCTTGTTGATAATTTCACCTGCCGATAGTTCAAGAACACTACCTTCTTTTAGTAAACATTCACACCCAAGTGACAGCTCCACGTTTCTGCTTAGTTCCTCCAATTCCTTTGAGGTTTCGATTTACGCTAAAAGAGAAGGGAATTTAATGCCTGTTCCCTACTCTCCACAGATTTCTTTTGTGCTTTAATGGATTCGGTCTTGTCGACACTTTGAATACCTATGCAAATCTTGATCCACTTATCTTTCAATATCAATTGGTAACCACACGTGGTAACATCAAGTATCTTCTTAATGTGCTATTTTAATAAAAACAAAGATCCATTACAGAACTACCGGTTCTGAATCCCTTCATGAGAAAACTCTAATGATCTTTGCCACATTTAAAGTTCTTTGATGGATTAAGATGACAGAAATGAACCTATCCGGTATTACAAACAATTAAATTAAGCCAACTTTTCAACAAGATCCAAATACTGAAGACTTGAACTAATCCAGAAACTGAGGAAGTAGATCAAGGAAAACTGAGGTTTGAGCATAAGTTTCGGATTATTTCCCTGATTAGAAGTGAATAAATTCTAAAATTTAATGAGGTAAATTAAGGTGTATGATATTATGAATTATCCAGACACGTATATTCAACACTCAGTTCAGCCCTTACTGAACTATTAAGCTGGTTCCTCTGGTAGGCAGTGGAGAAGTGTAAAGATGCATCATTTTAAAAGGCATCGAAGAATAGGCGCAAAAATACCTCAAGCAATTGAGCCATTCTAAGATGATTTGAAGGGATTCGTTTGAATTTCATATGCAAACAGGAGCTCTTCATAGTTCGAGAGCGGTGCAATTAAAAAAAGTAAAGTTCAAAATAAGGACTTTCGAGTCGATTTCTTTGCCCTGACGCCACTCACAAAATTTTGCAGAATACTTTTAAAAATAACTTAAGACATCCCGATTTCAATTGACTTTGGCCTTTTGTATGGCTTCCCCTAACCACCAAATTGTCCACTTCAAATTGCCGTGAAATTATCCCCGAAGCCTCTAATTATCTCTCCAAAAGGTCATATATAAACATCTAAAATATTTCCACTACTTTGGTATTGATAAAATAGTCGACTCAATGAGAGTCATATTCTTTCGTTTGCTACGGCTTTAAAAGAGTTTGAGTAGGAAAAAGGAGGGCATTAATAATATATGAAGGAAGTAAGGAATCTTATAAGTAAATCATCGGACATCGACCACATCTGAAAGGTGGACTTTAGAAGGATACGAGGATGCTTAACAATTGGGGCTTACAAACTGGCAGACTCCATTGCCCAGAAGATGGGTGCTACAGGAATTGCGCGGATGCCATTAGGTATTAGTATTCAGATAAAGAAAAGGAATATGCAAAGTGGAGACCATTCTTATTAGATTCCTAATTGAAAAGCATTGACTCTCCTAAACTTCAGAGTACAGTGACATTGATGGTTCATCTCTTCCCATTACACTAAGTTGTTTAAGTATACACTTTTTATTGCCTACTTTACTTTATGTACTTTTAATCTTTGAATATTTGGTGAAGAAACGTTCAGTGCATACCACCTACACTAGGTGAAATATGTGAAATAATCGCATAAGCATTCCAATATTCATAACTTCACATTTAATTGATAAATTGAACAGCAGAATTTCATGTTCAAAAAGCATTTATTAAACAAAGGAAGATTGATCAAAATTCATGAAAATTAAACGGAGTTGTCAAAAGAAAAAAAGTGTCGAAGAAGACGCTTTGCAAAAGATAGTCTGCGTTTCATTTTAGAATTTTCCTACAGCCAAGTTGGAGCTGAATTTCGGGACAGACCTCCCTTGCTAGCATTAAGAGACACTCAATATCAGATGCTGGTATTTGAAGGCAAACTTCCGCATTAAGTTGACTTCTGCTTTCGTCTTTAAGTTGACACTTTGGCTGTTCTTCCTTGTAATGGGACTGAGCCTCACTGGGAAAAATTTCATCTTTTTCGGTAAATGCATGCATGTTAATACTAGCATATTCCAGTTTCGAATCGTTATTTTGAGCGTACTGCTCTGGAGCTTGGTCGTGGATTTCCTCTACCTCTTGAAGATGATTACGATCTTTATTCTCTTCATTTGCAACATAGTCTTCTTCAAATAGTTTGCCTTCAGGATTCTGATTTTCTTTATCACACTCATCATGAACTTTGGCTCCTTCAAAAACTTCTTCATTTGCAGACGTCTCTAAAAATTTATCATCTTCATCCTGCCTTTCGTATTCTTCTTCAGTTTTCACAATTTTGTAATCATATTTTTCTTTAACCAGACCTTCTACGTTTTCGTCAACATTATTCGTATACTCTTCACCCAGTTCGTTAGAGGAGTCAGCGAGTTCTTCTAACTTTCCCGATTCTTCCACTGGTTCATCTTGTCCCTCAATTTGAAAATATTCTCCATCTACTCCTTCTAAATAGGCAGTGACTTCGATTTCCACATTAGAAGTTGCAGTATAGTCCTCGTATTCAGCACATTCTTTTTCAGGCTCTTCTAAGCATGATTCTTCTGGGTTCACTTCATCACATTCTCTGTCACAAGCAAGTACCTCTTTAAGACATACTTCTCGAATCTTTTCGCATTTTTTCTGATTGAACAACTTTTCATTCACATCGGATATCGCTTCCCTGGCTTCAACTTCGATGTACTCCGACTTTTCCTTTCCTTTGTGAATTTCGTCTTCATGGACATTATTCTCAATAACTTCAAGACCTTCGCCTTCTAATTCATAATTATTCTTTTTCCCTATCCGCTCCTGTGTCTCGTGATATATTACACCATTCTCAGGTACTTCATTTGATGCTCCTTCTTCCTCTTCCTCAGTGAAAATTTCATTGTAGTCTTCCTGTGAGATATACTTCACACAGACTTCTTTAATTTCTTCGCCTGGTACTTCTAACTCTCGTTCAGATCCTTCATTCAGAATTTCGTTGCAGTCGACCCCACTTTCAGTCATCGTTTCTTCAGAATAATCCTCTCTAGAAATGTACATTTCTGAGTTTTCAAATGTCAATTCCTCCCTGGGAGAATCCTCTGCCAACTGTTCGAAGTGCCTCATTCGCCATTCTATGCACTCGATAACGTCAGGCCATAATTGACGCGCTAAAGTAAGAATACACTTTTGGACATGTACATCTCGTTTCGCATCACGATTCATGCTTTCAACTTTTCGATCTCTTCAATCCCCTCTTATATTCCACTTAATTGGTGACTCGGTTTGTGATCACATCTTGTGATTAAAGTTCTCTCCCCCCAAAAGTATTACAGACTAAGATCCATTTATGCTGAATTTACTCAAAGTGCAACCATTGAATTTACGTGAAAACGTGACTATGAGCATTGTGGTTTTCAAATAAAAAGCGCCTTGGTTAAATGGATGCCAAATGTTGCTTTTCAAAACTCCTTCTAAAAAATTCTTACAAATACCATTTGCTGCAGTGGACATTCTCGTCAGAAATCGAATGTTAACCTCCATGAGGTCTCTTGTGTTTACTTTTCTTTACCTATCTCCTTTTCGCCCATTTTAGATTTGTCAACATAGTACTCTAAACTTCAAATTTAATTGTTCGCGTTTATCGAGTATCAAATAACAAAATCTGGGATTAACTTAGAAATCACAATTCAGTTATTGTTTTGTGAGTTATTTTACATTCATTGGTTTACCTTACTTAAGGGCTACCGTTTATTGACAAAAAGTGCCTTTTTCATTAACCTTCTAAGCCGGACTTAGGAATACCATTGTCTTCTAAGGCTGAGGCGGATTTTCCACATGCAGGCCTTTACATTTAGCGGAATTAAGCGAATGGAACCACGTATTAGTTTGAAGCTGCTATTTGGAAATTAAAGATACAAATTACATTGTTTTTATCATCACACGTTTGTTATTTTCATTTTTGCTAATCTTCCCACCAGTCATTAAATAATTGATTTTCCCAAAACTGAGAAACTAAAGAATTTCCGGATAATATAATGCATGGGACTGTGTTTCGTTTACATCAAAACCTTTAACAGATGGCATACGAAAAATGAAATTCAGCATTTCATCATTTTTCATGACAAATATCTCCACCTTTTACTATTTTCCTTCCATTAGGTTTTCCTAGGATGTATGTAGACATAGTATGGTGTGTAATCTGTTAACTCCGTGGTGCTCTTTAGTAGAGTATAGGTGATATTGTTGTACTGATCTAATACATTTCGGCACTAATTTCAAATAAAATGGATAATTTCTTAATAAGTTCGACTATTAATTTGTTACTTCGAAGAATGCCTAGAAATCATTGGTTTTGGCCATATTTTCCTGCGACTCAAAATACTGTCCGTCATGTCTAGACAAATTTATCGTTTCTACTTTTTCCTATAAGACTCCTGTTTCATTCAAAAGTACGCTGCACTTATGACCTCAAGCGCGTCCTAGCCGGCCTTGAATTTTCACTCTGGCAGATACTCATCGTGGTTTATTTACTACTCTTCGTCCGACGAAATGGCAACTCTGTGAGCTTTCACGATTCTGTTCAATATCAGTTGCTGAAAAGTAAATTACAAATTAAATAGTTACTATCAGTGCTAAAATTATCTAAGAGTTTAAATGGTCTTAGTTTTTAGCCCCTCATAAGTTTATTCAAAATCCAAGAAGGGAAAGTTGTTTCATGAATATCACCTTTAAAACCAAACGTTACAATAAAATGATAAATACTAAGTTCGAAGTACACAAGCCATTCTTTGGCTCGAAATCTACGCAGCTTATTGTTAAATTAATATAAACTTTGATATATCAAGACTATAAATTCTAGAAAATTCGATGTGTTTTCTGACCATAATATTATCAAATCCCAGCACATAGGTCAAATCATCAATCCAACTGTGTGAAGCCCAATGATTATCGGTCCAATTTTAGCATATTTAATACTAATGAAAAAATATACGTAGAACTCAATATAGAATCATTCTTCCTTCCATATTTACCTTAGATCTTAAAGGCCAAAACCTTTCCACTGGATTTGCGAAGGTATATTTGTCCAAATTAATTTCACTCCTTTAATCACCAAAAAAAACAATGGGCATTGTCTATAAGTTAGACGAGTATTCATAGGAGAGGGGAGACAATTTTCTTCCATTTTCTAATTCGGGACAACCTAAATTAGATGAACCGTTGGGTTATTGAAATCGAGGTCGCTGTTTAAAAGCTCTTGCTATAATTGATTTTTTGTTAGTTCAGTATTCTTTTAACTTTAAAAGCCAATCACTGCTTCATGTTGCAAACACCGGGATTAAGTTTTCGCCCACCTGTCGACTTAACAAATTCTAGCACACACATACACACGCACTATATCCCCCGTTTATTGACCGGCTGTTTAACCGCATTGGTCAGTCTTACCACTTTTTACAAATACCCAGAAAGCAGGATAATTTAATATGAGACTAAGAAACTTCCAAGATTTTGGCACTTTGGCATAATTGACTCCAGTTCATTTAATATGAACTCTGATGTCTCAACCCCTAGGACGCCCTTTGGATATGTTTTGGCGTCATACCCACCACATCATTTTCCAAAGATTAGTCATTAAGGGCCACTTTAAGATCTGCTATTGCATCAAAATATAACAATCCCGAAACATCTCGTTTTTAATAATGTTTGGGGCCCATGCAACACGTGATTTCAATACTTCATCTTCATTTTATTTTAAAAAAATTTACTGGGTCTGCATGATACGGTACCATTGTAGTTACTCCAATTGCATTTCCCTTAACTTAAGTGGGCAGTTTTGATTGGACGCGGGCTAGGAGTTGTAGACATTAAAGCTTCATTTGATTTTCTGCTGCATTCCCAAAATGACTGAAAATAGTCTAGACCCAATCTCAAGAACATTTTGGTACTGTGTCCCTTTTGACGAATGGCCAGATGCTGTCGACATTCTTACTATAATTTTCGAAGTAAGCGGAATTATTCTCAATCTGCTAACAGCGTTTCTGCTCTTCCGTATTCGGCACGGGCCGAGGCAAAATGTTGTTCTCTTAAAAACACTAACAATTCATTGTCTTCTTGTTTGCATTGTCAATTTAATTGAAGACTGTGATCCAGACGGGGTCACCACTGATAATTATGTCTTCAATACTCTAATGTGTGTATTTTGGAATGCCCGATTCTTCTATTGGATCTTTTTTGTTGCTGTCAGTCAGTGTCTCGTCTTTCTTGCCGTAGATCGAGTCCTTACTCTTTACAAGTGTGATCAACTACGATTCACCAGTCCTCGACGGCGTATCGTAGTATACGAGATTACTATTCACGCCTTCAGTACATTGCTTACATTGCCCCAAGTCCTAACTGTCAACTTACAGCATGGAGGATGTGCGTGTGCCCCTAACAAGGTCAACATACCCTTCTTAACAGTGATATATGCACATGTCTATCTATGGTTCACACTTCTCTTTGTGACAGATGGAAGTATTTTATTATGCAGTGCGTACTATATTATGAAGTGGGTTCGAGAAACCCCCAGTAGAGACCAACTTGATGATTTGAACGAACTCAGTTTCGAGGTGTTCAGTGAACACGGAATTCATTTAGAGCAATACAAAGGAAAGGGATATAAGACTGCATCCATGTGTATTTTACCCCTGGCTATGAGCTATATTCTCACTTTCTCTTATGACTCTACTTACCAGTTCGTAAGTGCTTTGGGTCTAGCAACTTTCATTATTAACAGTATCCCACAGAAAATTGGTGGACTCCTTCTTGTCGTTCATGTAAACGTTGTACCGGTTGTATTATTCTTCTATCTGCCACCGTTGAAAGAGTTCGCTGCTAGATATTTTCTTGCACCTCTTCATGTTGTAAAATACCCAAAATGACTGGTTGTCTTATATCGTCATTTATCCGTCGTTGTATTTGAATTATTGAGTTACTGTGATTGTCATTTATTCAGTCTTACTCTATGAAGAAGAGATTTTAACCAATTAAAATGTTTATTTGAAAAGTAACCTAGTGATATGTATAAAACCAATATTTATCAGTTTTTTGGAGACCAAAGTAATATATCTCTATAGTATAATCGTAATTTTGGCTAATACTTGCATCAGTGTACAGAAATTAAATTGTTTCTATTAATGATGGTAAAGCTATTGAATTTATGGCATATGAAAATATTTATCAATAAAGTAAAAGAATTTGTTATTAATAATTATACTATTAATAATTATTAACATTCTTAGGTAGTTAACATTTTTATGCCTAAGAGTAAACTATAGGCACCACAAATCATGTTGAGCAGCTACTGCTCAGTGATCACGTAAACAGTTCAACTACACCCAGAAGAAGCTACCAATGGTAACAGTGCCCGGGATCTGTAGCGGAAATGACACAATTAAGACTTTGGATAGACTTTAATAAACCTCTTAGCAGTCAAATAGCTAGACTCAAGTATATATTGTGCACAAATCTTGTTAAGATACAAAGGCCAAAGATGTAAAATTGTACCGGTGAAAAATAATAAATTTGCTACAATGTGAAGAATAAATGGGATGATTATTTGAATTCATATAACGTGAAAGAGTTGACCGCACGAAATGCCTTCAATACATGAAGGTACAAGGTAAAACCTCTGCAAACTATGAAAATTTTAAAAAAGTATGTGAAGATTTTTATGTTGAAAAAATATGGTTACTTTTAAAACACTTTAGTTTTTCCATATTGGTATTATCCATAAACTAACTTGAAGAACCCATAAAGTATGTTTCAAGCAAAACAATCATTGTTTCAAGTAATATGGATCCAAGCAATTGAATTCTGCTCATAAATTCCCATAGCCATTTTGGTTTCTTTATGTACACAGAATTTATTTTTACTTTTATAGTATACCAAATTTGCCACTTTCCCTAAATCTGCTAAACATTTATAAATGATTTAAATTCGTTTTTACATTAAGATCAAAAAATTAACATCAACATTATTTCATGGAGATTTACTAACATTATTTGTTTATAATAAACTTAAAAATACTCTCAGAGTACTATAAAATGATTTAAGGAAAGTTGCAGATTATAATTATACTCGAAAAATATTTAATTATGAAATACATTTAAATTTTGTTAATTTCCTATATTATTTTAAAAATGAGGAAGGAGAATAAATTCATTGGGTTTTCGACCTTCAGATCTCCTGTGCGCACTATAAATTTTTGGTGCGTTGCCTATGGTGTTATTCCTGAATGTGATATTTGCTGATATGGTTTAATGATAAATATCATAAAACCCGCCATTTGAAATAATATTTTTTGATATAGAAGTATGCATTTATAGTCCTCAGAATTAGTTTTGTTGTGGCTTTATAGCACATCAAGTCGATGAATAGTTGAATGAAGATTCACCTTGTCTACTCTTGTATTTAAATTTTATGCTCCAGAAATGTTTTTGTCAATTACATATAGACGTAATAGCGTCACTTATTTTTTCGTTTCTTCTCTTCTTCATTATGTACACATGTGTGGGACACGTTATCGCTCTGAAGTTTCATTATGTGTGGCTTAACTGACAAAATGCTTTCTAATTTTAGTTGCAATATCAATGCATATTTATCTCATTTTCTTCATATTTTAACATAGAAAGAAATCGCCCTTCATTTTACAAATAAACTGATCCAATACCAGTATCGATGAATGGGTAAATCATTTCGCGGACTCAAAATAAATTTGAGCCTAATTTATAAGCAGATTTCTAATTTCGAATATTGTCCCAGGGATAGTAAATTGTAAGCTCCTATCAATATAATTCAAACTGTCTTTCCTTGTTCCTTTTTATGGCTGTCGAGATAGTTTTGTTCTTTGTAAAACACTTTATTTCCTTGACTTTTAATAGCGAAGATAGAGCAGGCTGCCTTCCCATTTTGCAGACCTCAAGGGTGAAATGTGTGGGGCCTCAGTAGAAATGTGGCCAATTACTTTAGGGAGTGATTGTAAACGATAGATGTATTTATTTTACGTTGCTATTATATTTACCCTTCGAATTGTTTACTGAGTCGATTTTAGTAGAAAAAACTTTAAATTCAACTTTTTTAACAGTCTTAAAGATGATCAAGTGTGAGATATGTGGCAGACATTTCTCGCGAAAGGAAAACCTTAACTACCATGCAGCATAGGGGCCAGCATTCTTTCTCTAGCCTTATGCAGTTCTCTGTTTTGTCTGGATAAAAATTACTGAATTAGTAGTAGATATCGGGGCTCTGCGAAAATATAATGTTTGCAATTATATAAATTCGCAATACTTATTTTAGCAATTCACTTTCTAGTGTTCACCCATCCGGTGGCATATTTTGATTTAAGAGAAAGAGGATCGAAATTTTTTCTAGTGCTTTTGGATTTGAAAATATACAGTTGCCATTATTGATGGATTTGTTCTAATGTCAATTATTTTTATCCTCATAAAGCAATAATCTCTGTGATATGTCAGACATCTAAGTTGATTGTTCATTGTGGAATTCGTACTTCCTCGTTGAGGTATGAACATCTGTGGAGAAAAACTGGAACTACAGTTACTAGTTACATTCTTCAAAATACAGGTCAAGTTTTCTTCCATTTCTCTTTTAATTTGTAGTGAGCATTTAAGTAGCTTCGGGATTGCCTTTCTGGTGATAGTTTCATGGTGCGGATTTCCAACTAGCAGTGGAAATAGTTGGACACATTGCACAACTGAAGCAAGTTGGCGAGGGATAAATATTGAGTTAATACCATACTTTAAGATATCTCCTTGACGGAGATCAAGAATTCGCAAGATATCCCTCCCTCTTAGTTATGTAAGAAAGGCGGGAGATAAAATCATTTCTAAATAGTAATAAGCAAATAAATCTTCCCACGCGTCATTCATATGCTTTGCAGCCTTTACCTACTGCTTTTATTGTGACTCACTATGATTGTGTTGCTAACTGCGAGAAATTTCACCATTATTCAATCTCTCGATTAAATTGGGCGATTCGTGCTGAATATTTCATCTAAATGATTGAATCTTAATGTCCCCCTATTTATATTTTTATATAGATCTCATTCCGCTAAAATGTGAAGCATGCGATTTCTCGTTCAAAGCCAAGCGCTGTGTTCCGTTCCATGCAGGCGAGCTCCGTAGTAGGTATTAGTTCTGCCTATGGTACTAATCTTATTTCAGTAGATTGTGCTAAATTTAATGCGATTCTTTAATACTCTCTTGATGGTTTCATACACTAGGGGTTTTGAATGACGCTTTATCTTAAAGCCAACCTTATTTTTCTACATATCTCCACTACTTTGTAAATTATTATTTTTTCAATAAAAGTTTTGCATCTCACTTGTTTACAATTGATAGGCCTATGTCAGCAATTTTTACGGTATGACCAACAAATGTTGTATTGTTGGTAAGAAACACGCAGGTGCTGTGTTTGCGATAACGTTATCCTTGATAAATTCACTGTTCCTACAGTTTTTTCCTGATTTTCACGTGTTATCTTCCCCCTTTGGATGAACTTTCACCGAAAGGGTCTTATTTTCCTGAAAGAAAGGCGAATGAATATCATCAGCATCGTTCCACAAAAGTGAAAGTTAGACCTTTTGAGGTGATGTTGATGCGAGCATTTTTTTAAACAAAAGAATTGACCAGATGTTCGTTTCAAACTTTCAGGAAATTAAAATATTATTTCAATAAATGAGAGGAAAACATTAAAATTACTAATCTTGTTAAGGGACACAATTTATTATCTTGAATAATTGCATATTCACTTTGATATGAAACAATGAAAAAATGGTGGCGTTTTCAAAGAAGAACACTAAATTTGGATTCTAGTGAAGTAGGGGAACACAGATATTAAAATGTTCGGCTCAATGAAATAAGTACCGGGGTTATCCGGAACATTCCATTTCATGAAACTATTTTCGGGCAAAATAGCCACCCATCCAAATAAGCGCCCATGGGCTCCTTTTCGGATGGGCGAACTTTCGGAAACCACGGTGGTATGTAGTACAAGGAGATAAACAACAGATTGCAATAAATGGCCATGAAAGTAAATGAAGAAAGACATCCAATGGGTGAATGAAGCGTAAGAACTGAAAATTTCAGAATTCACTTCTAAAATAGACCACCCGCCCACACACACGCGCACACACCTCAACTACACTATAATCAAATCGGAAATCTGTCACATGGAAATGAAAAGACATTTTTAGTCACATTTACCGAAAATCGTTAAATTATAATCTATATATCTTTTCTTCGGAAAACGTTTTCCTGCACGCCTGAAAGTGGATATTTAGTTATAAGGAGAGAATGGGAAAAATCAAACTGACTGAGTAACTCAAACGAATCGTTTTATGATTACATGATTACGATAGAGTCTCTATTTGGACAAATCGGCCAGGGCATCTAATTCTGACCAGTTTTAAACGAAAATTTATCGACATAGACTTACCTCCACGCGGTGCACCCTGGACAACGTATATTAATACGACAAAAAAGTCTATTAACCGGCATTTGACTTCTGACTTCAGACTACCATGGCCCGACTGCTTGTCATATTTGACCCCTTTCACAGTACTCATCTCATTTTTTTCTACCTTTGTGTCTGTCTGTCTCTTTTACATCTGTGAATCGCTCTTCTGTTCCGCACCCTTCGACTTTCTTCTACTTTGATGAACCTTCCCTCTGTGAAGCCCGAAGTCAGCTAAGTGGCTAATGATAGCTATCAAAACGCCTGCCATTTGAAATGAATAAATAAACTTAAACATCGACAGGATTCTTTGCTCTTAGGCAAGCTTCGTTTTCCCTTATCCTCTTGACTGAAATTC